ACTCACCTCGGCCTCCCAAAGGCGCGGGATTACAGGCTGAGCCACCGAGCCCGGCTAATCATTATCATTTTTAATGACTGTATAATAATCCCTCCATTGAGATATTAGACCATTTACTGAAGCATTCACTGAGTCTATGAGACCTTATTACATACTTCTTTGTGTCTTTCACAGCATCTGGTATTGTAAAATGCAAAGTAAATTCATTTAAAATGTCAGCTGAAATGAATTTATTGTCCATTCTCCCTAACACCTGAAATAATCCATTTCACTGTTTCTATCTCAATCTCTAGTGTAATTTTCTGGTTCTACCCCCTTAGCTTAGGCAGGTAGCAAAAGTATTCCAAGTACTTCTTATATAGGTTTATTTATTTTGATGGTTGATCTCATACATATTTAAACATGAGAAATCCCTTGAGGAAAGGCAATAAGATCCTGTACTATCTAGGATAAGCGAGACACGTGTCAGGCACTCAATAAATGTTCACTTACCTGTTAAATATTTTTTAAGCCACCTAAAGTTATAAAATGCCAAATTCCTGAGAAGGGGAATGCTGCTGCTCTAATACCATCACTTACGCCTATAAACTTTCAGCTCATGTAATGATTAGACTGATTAACAATGTATAATGAGTGTTCTGTGCTGTGCATGGAAGCATACAACAAGAGTAGCTGGTGACTTGCACAGTCTGAATGGCACTAAAAGACAAACAATATCTGCAAACAGAACTTCAAGATCTCGTGACAAAAGTTGACTCCTCTTCTTAGTCACTTAGCTTTGCATCACAGATAAAGAAAAGCAAAAGTCACAATATTAAAATCATGTGCATGTACATACACATTTGAGCACAAACTGGAATGGAAATAAATTGTTAAGATGGAAGGATACAGGAGAACTTTTTTCCTTTCTAGTCTTTGATTTGTTAGTATCATGTTAAAATGTATGACTAAGAAATTATTCCTGACAAATTCGCCATTGCAACTCTCGCTATTACTGAATTAGGGCCCAATGCTTAACATTTGAATAAGTGTCCCAAACTCACAGCCTAGCAAAAAGGTCTGACATAAAACTGTATGTGTAACTGTATCACTCTTATTTTTATGATAAATGTTAGTAAACCAACCAACCACCTTAAGACTTTTAAACACCACAGCACAATCAGACACACACAAAGAACTTAATGGTACACGGTTTCTGGAAAATTTCAATTTCTCCTCCAAGGATAGCTAATGTGACTCCAAATATCAGAGTCTATACAGTAAATCAATCATCACAGTAATCCATTCTCATTTCACCCTCCCTTGTGAAGACTCATGTATAAGGTTGCCTCCTGCATCAATAGGCTGTGACAGAAAACAATTAGGTTTTACTACTTGTCATAATTAATCCTTTTACTTAATACATTAATTCTCCTAGAAGTAATAACTGTTCAAAGTAATATTCTTTCCAAAATTACTGAAAAGGTTCCTGCAGTTCTCATGGGACAGAGAAAAAAAAATTACTGGAAAGGAATGGTTTTGTTTGAGCCTTTTTACACAAATTCTAGACACCCATTTCAAAGTCACTGGATTTAGAATTCCACTACACTGTACTCCATAATAATAACCTTTATGTTTATGTAAGTAACTATATCATGACAAAATGGAAAAAGAACCAATTCTAACTATCTGTGGTAAAAAAGAAGTCCGTGTGCATGTCAGGAAATATAAGTCTAGGTGAGAGAGGCCACCACTGATTGAAGGGGCAGTTTACCCCAAACAATGCACCTCTATTTATAGGGTAATGGAATCTGTGTAAACCTTAACTTTAAAATAAGTTCAACCCAAGGAACAGTTAACACCCATTCCACAGCTAAAATTCTTACTCTGTGCATTCTTCAAAACTCTGACACTGACAATTGACAGTCTTGTCAATGGCAATTTACAAGTAAAAAGGATAATAATGCCTCTAAAAATATATATAGCTGATGGGGAAAGGGAGAGGGGAAGAGGACAGGGCTCTCAATATCTGAGATGTCTTTTTGTGGTGGTTGGTTAGCTGCCTCTTTTGAGCACTGACATTTCCAAGTTTTTTGTGAAAGGGAAATTTTAAGAATGTGCTGAAACTATTCTTTCAGCATCAATCCCCAGATAAGTGGTGTTTCATTTGGCTTGCTTTTTTTTTTCTTTCAATCATTGTGATGGTAAACGTGACGTGAACTGAAATAAAGATGCCTGAATATTTAAAAACTGAGGCTTCTGAGCCGGGCTAGGAGGCTCAGCCTGTAATCCCAGCACTTTGGGAGGCTGAGGTGAGTGGATTGCCTGAGCCCGCGGGTTCAAGACCCGCCTGGGCAACTTGGCGAGACCTCATCTCTACATAAATCAGAAAATTAGCCGGGTGTGATAGCGCACACCTGTAGTTCCAGCTACTTGGAAGGCTGAAGTGGAAGGATCGCCGGAGCCCAGCAGGTCGAAGCTGCGGTGGCCGGGAGCATCCGCTGCACTCCAGTCTGGGTGACAGAGTGAGACTCCAACTCAAAAAAAAAAAAAACTGAGGCTTCTGAAAACTTTCAGAGTTGCATTTAGGCTATTTCATTTGGTCAGGGCAAGGAACTAGTGAGTCATAGACTGAAGACTCAACCTCCTATCAGTTGAGAACTTAAAGTAATTAAGCGCTTAGGGAAAAATTTACCTGACAGCCATAAGCAGACCTAGCAGGAACAGGAAGACAAACCAACTACAATAGATAACTCCAACAGAAGAAATAAACTAACTTCCCACAGAAGGACAAACCGACAAAGCATATGTCAACTGGTTGATCTGTACCTCTCAATATACACAAAAGCAAGTAAAGAGAAGGAAAACAACCTATAATTTCTGAAAAAAATTAAACACGTGATTTTGAAATAAGAAGCTGTAAAAACAGCTTAGAAAATGATCCTGGGTCTGGGGTGGTGGCTCACGCCTTGTGATCACAGTGCTTTGGGAAGCAGGGGCGGGAGGATTGCTTGAGCCCAGGAATTCAAGATCAGCCTGGGCAACATAGTGAGACCCCGTCTCTGCAGAAACAACAACAAAAAAATTAGATGGGAGTGGTGGCTCAAGCCTGTAGTCCCAGCTACGCAGGAGGCTGAGGCAAAAGGATCACCTGAGCCCAGGAGGTCAAGGCCACAGCGAGGGGTGACCGTGCCACTGCGGTCAGGCCAACAGAGTGAGACTCCGACTCGAAAGAAAGAAAGAAAGAAAGAAAGAAATTCTGATTAGTCGAGAGTCTCATCCATGGCCAAGTCCTCTCCTGGAACTACAAGAGTGATCCCAATAACTTGCCCTAGCATATAGCGTGTACTGAGATACGTGATCTCATTTAAAGGAGCGGGCCCAGCCGCTCGGCTTAGGGTCAAAGCCGAGACCCAGCCCACGTCCTCCCCACTCCCTCTTCCCGCCTCCCAAAGATGTAAAAGTCCTGGGTTGATCTGCTTTCCCCACGCTCCCCGCAGACTCAAGGGAAAGTCGGAAAGATACAATTTCACAAGAATCTTGGCACTTGCACTATTTACTGTTGAGAGATGACGAAGATGACTTCAAGCGAC